CCCGTCCTCTCATTCCTCCCTCTTGTGTGGCACTCCTAAATGCATAGGAATGAGTGGCAGTAAGAGAACAGACAGAATATAAGGTGAAGAACTGCTGAAAAATGAAGAGTATTCGCTCATCACTCTTCCTCCTTTATAGCGTGCAGGTGGGCCATTGTGGCATAATGGGATGTGGGCCCACTTCCCCCCAACATTCCCCCTCTTCTCATTTTTTTCCCTCTCTCCTTCACTTTTTTGCAACCGAAGCCGCAACAGGTACCCTTGTAGGAATGAGTCAGTAAGAGAACAGACAGAATATAAGCTGAAGAACTGCTGAAAAATGAAAAGGAGTATTCGCTCATCACTCTTCCTCCTTGATAGTGTGCAAGCGGGCCGTAATGGCATAATGGGATGTGGGCAGCTTATGCTCAACAACAATCAACGTGGCAAGCATTGTACGTTAGAGGCAAGGTAAAAGTGGAGCTGCAAAAAAAAAAAAAAAAAAAGGGTACCGGGCCCAGCGCAGTTGGTACACCCCTAAACTGTTGAAATACAATCGGTAGGCCAAACTCCACTGGAAGCAGATGAGTAAAATACTAGAATTCTGAATTACCTAGGGCCTGCCAGTTCTATGATTATATCTCAAGGCCTGTCGCCCATTTTTTTTGGGAAAAAAAAAAGGGGTAGACCAAAGAGAGCCAAAGTAAAGATAGCAAAGGAAGGACTGTTATCTAGACCCCCAGTCCCTAGACCCACACTACCGAACTTCTACCCCCAAAGGTACTAATTTTCTTTTTGTCGTCTTCTGCTCGGCCTACCGCTAGTCAAATGCTACCAGTACCGACACTAGGCTACTTGAGTGTGCCCTAAGCTACCCCTTCGGCCACTTGAGTGTGCCTTTAAACTACCCCTTCGGCCACTTGAGTGTTATTTCCCTGCTGCAACCCCAAAGCCACGTCCACAGGTAAGTACCGGCCCTGTCCTCCCAAACAAACAAGTGCCCTGGCGGGCCCCACAGACACACTCAGGCCGACAACCACTCTTACTCATACAGGCCTACACGGACCAGCAAGCACGCACACACACACAGACTTAGACAACTCAGCATAACGCAGGAATCTCAGCACACCATACATTCCAGCAGACAAAACTCAGAAATCAGCCGTGTTCTTAGTCAGTGTTTTGGCAGGTCCTTACTTATATGTGCTCCATTTTGTTTGCTATAGAGAGGTGACACTGTTTCAATGTTGGATTTGCTCATTCTACGACATACTGCTCATTCTTGGGCATACTGCTCATTCTAGGGCATACTGCTCATTCTAGGGCATACTGCACATTCTAGGGCATACTGCTCATTCTAGGGCATACTCACACTAGGCTCTTATCATCGCAGAACTGCAAAATCAACTATCGGAACTTCAGTTTATATTTTGTCCGTCCTCGTTAAGCATTACTAAGCGAACAGACAAAATATAAACTGAGGATCTGTGGAAAAATGAACAGGACCATACATCCCCTTTTACTCTGCCTCTCCTTTCATGGGGGTGTTATGTGTGCCATTATGGCACACAGGGGATGCGGGCAGCTTACGCTGAACCACAATCAACGTGGCAAGCCTTGTACGTTACAGGTGCAGCAAAAGGGGAGCTGCAAGAAGAAATAAAAGGGGTACCCCAAAAGAAGCCAAAACAGATAGTGAAGAAGGGACTGTACAAGGAAAAGGCACTCTAATATATATCGGATTTATTGTGCTTCATGGTGTACTATGGAGGCAAAACTGTTTCAGTGTTGAATCTGCTCGTCTTTAGCGTGCTTCAGTGTGCATTATTGTCTGCTATAAAGGTAAAAGTAAAACTGCTTCAGTTTTTTTATCTACTCATCTGGGTGGAAAAGGGGCTGTTGTGGTGACGATTCGCAACACCCATACACACATACACATTACACACATCACACACAACACACACATCACACACAACACACACAACACACACAACACACACAACACACACAACTCACACAAGCAGTTTGCTTCTGGTCTGTGTGGAAAGGATCTCCTGTTCGTGTTTTACCCATGACTTACTATAACGTTCGTTGGCATTTATCTTTTATTCATTTTTAAACTTTTTTTCCTTTGTCTTGCGAGGATAAATGAAGACGGTATTGCAACAGAAAGAAGTGTGAGGCTTGGGAAACTCATACGTGAACGAACAGCCAAGTGGTTGAAGCTGATGCACTTCTGTTTCTAATCCTTTCTTTTCCGTTTTTGTGTGTGGGTAATACTTTTTTGTCTCTGCACAGGTTGCTAGCTTTGGCGCGTACATGTTTGACTACAACGTCGTGACAATGTCTTTTGCACCACGAGACACCCATGAAGCACAAGTGCAGTTTGCTCTTGAGAGAGGTGTCCCCGCTGTTCTTGGCATCATGGCAACGCGAAGGCAGCCATATCCAAGTGGCGCATTTGATCTTATCCATTGCAGCCGATGCCTCATTCCCTGGACAGCAGATGGTGAGTTGTGGTTTCTTTCCTCGTGTCTTATGAAAGGAACTGTATGACGTGCATGGATCGACATTCATGTTGGCTCACCAACCTGGGACGAGCCTGTCCATTTTTGGTCCTTGCAGGAATTAATTGATGTGTTCTCTACATATTCTGAATTAAGATGTGTGTAGGGGGGGGGGGGG